TGTCTAAATTTTTGTCAGCTTAACAGCACGTTTTTTAAAAACCATTGGCACCCCCCTGCCTGAATGGCAATACAGAAACAGAGCCAAGGTCTCCTGCATGCAGGGCCCAAAACAAGGTGACTCAACCACTGTAATAGCATTAAAAGACTTCAGATAATTTTTACCTGTGCCTCAGTTTCCTCCCCCGCTGATCTTGAAAACAGACAACAGGAAGCTTAATTGATGTTTTCAAACCAGTTTTTGAGAGCTGGGGATGAAAAGGCACAAATGGAAAAGCATTAACTGGAGTTTTCAGTATTTGTTACCACTGTTAAAAAGCCCTGAGCTCCCTGGAGTCCTGCACTGCTGGGTCCTCTGCAAGGATAAAAACCATGAATCAACTCCTACCCTGAAAATCCCAGCAAACAGGAGAAGCAGAAAGTTTCATCATCAGGTGTCTGCTGGCACGGGCTGAGGTGGGAGAGCACGTCTGACTCCTCGGGGAGGCACAGCAGCCCCGATGTGAGCTCTGCCAAAAAAACATCAGAATGATGATGGTGATGATGGTTCACACCACAGCCCCATGTCCTGCTTCCTTGGGACTCGGTGACAACATCTGTGAGCCCCTGCAAGGAGCAGCCCAAGGGCACAGCCGGGGGACAGGCAGGGCTCAGCTCTGTGCAGGAACAGCTCCCGGGCACAGGGGGATTGTTGGGGGGGGTCTGTGCAGGGCCAGGGGCTGATCACTGTGGATCCCTTCCAACTCAGGGAACTCCAAGATTCCATGACCCCAAGGCCAAAGCAGGGGTGGATGGACACCCTCTGACAGGTCCCCTGGACGCTGTGCCGGGTGTGTCCATCCTGAGGGGACAAACAGCAGCTCCCAAACAGCTGCCATAGCCCCGAGGGCCCCCAGCCCCTCACCTGCGGCCCCACCCGCTGCCCTCCGCCCCTCCCGCTCCCCATTGGCCCGGCCGGCCCCAGCACCCCGGGGTATTTAACTGGGGCCGCGCCCAGTGCTCCCAGTGCCGCCAGTGCTCCCAGTGCCGCGCCGAGCAGGCAGGTAAGGCTGGGCTGGGCTGGGCTGGGCTGGGCTGGGGGGAGGTAAGGTGGGTGGTGGGTAGTGGGTAGTGGGGGGTGGTCTGTGACTTGGCTGGGGGCTCCTGCTCTCTCAGGGGTTCTGCAGCCCTCGCCAGGGTGGAGGTTGGGATGGCCCCGCTCGGTCCCGCAGCCCCTGGCAGGGGGAGCCGCGGCTCGGGGGTCCCTGCTGGGGGTGCCACAGGTTTTCCTTTCCACAGCCTGGGACAGCAGGAGCTGGGGGCTGTGTCCCTGTTCTTGCTGTGCGGGGAGGGGGCTTTGCTTTCTGAGGCCGAAGGTGACACTTTCTGGTGTCACCAAGTGTCTGCCTCAGGGAACAGGGCCAGGCTTGGGTGTTGGAGGTCGGTGATCCTTAAGGTCCTTCCCAACCCAAACCATGGTGGCATTCAAACCCTTCCCAGCTTTGAGAGGGCTCCTCGGTAACTCCATGAATCTCTGAGCTGTGACTGAGCAGTCTGGGCTTGGTTTAAAAGTTCTTTTCTGCTTTTTGTCTGTTGAGGATCCCGGCTGGGGGGGGTCCACAGGCGGTGACTCCCAGCACCGTGTTTGGGGACAGGATGGATGGGACAGGTGACACCCCTGGGGACATGGGATGCCAGCTGGGCATTCCCTTCCCGTGACAGCGCTGCCAGCCCTGCCCGGGGCTGTTTCTCGTGATCCTCTGGAGGAGGCACAAGAGCTGAGTGATGAGAGAACTCTTGCTCAGGAGCGCCCTGTCCCTGCAGGGCTCTGCCAGCTCCCAGGGGGAGCTTTAGCAAACTGGATTAGTGTTTCTCAAGACTAACAAGGCTTTAAATGTGGTCATGACTACCCTGAGCTGTGGATGGCTGGGAAGGATTTCAGTTTCTAAAGCTGGTTCTGCTGAAAATTCCAGATGGAAATGTGCTGAGCTGCTTGCTCTGCAAGTTACAGCTTCCAGGTGAAACCAAGAGCTCTGTCCTCATGGAAAGTTTGGGAAGTACTGAGAAGCTGTTTTAGTTAAAACTTCCTTTCCTCTTTCCTAAAGTATCTCTGCTCCAAGCAGTTACTGACCCTGTAGTGGCCGCGTTTGGTGTTTAATTTCTGTTGGAGGGTGAAACCCTGCATCCATCAGTAAGAGTGGCTTTGATCTTTGAGGTTTCCTAGTGCTGCTGGTTTATCCAGAAAGGTGAGATGGGCACCTCTGCCAGCCCTCCTGAAACTACTGTCCTCAGGTCAAAGCTGGGAATCATCTGATCTTCCTCCTAAAACTGATTCTGTCCTCAGAGCATTTGCAGCCCATTCCCCACAGACATCCCATGACCCAGTTCTTTGTTTTTTGGGAACCGGGTATCAGTGGCAAATCTCGACAAGAATGTAAATAGGTGCTTTAACCACAATCGAATTCCTCTGCACTGATTAGCCCTCCTGCTCACATCTAAAGCACTAAATTTAGCTTTGTTTTCCTCAGTGGTCATTAAGGAATTGCCAGTTCAGCCACTGAACCAGCCACGCTGGCTGTGGCTCAGTCTTCCAAGGTACAACCCCTTGGAAGGGGGAGAAGCTCCCTGAACATGAAGATCCTCTGGGAGCACAGAGCAGCAGCCTGTTCTCATGGAGCTGAGCTGCTTCCCCAGGGAAACCTCCCAGCCAAGAGGAGTAAAGAACCAGCTTTAGGTGAACTGTTCGCTGCAGTGACAGAAATCAGGGAGGTGCTGATGCCAGCAGGGGAGTTCCTGGCTCTTCTGCCAGGCCAGTGAGGGATGAGGCAGGAAAAGGGAGCAGCTGGGTGGGTTTGGTGTCACTGTCCTGCTGTCTGGTGCCAGCCCTTGCTCTTTTACTGACTCCAACTGGGCAATGAGCAAGACTTCAGCTCCTGATCCCAGAAAATCTCTTGACCTTGATGCTAGAAAAGAGCACTGAAGTTTCATCGTTCTGAAACCACCTACTTCAAGAGCTTTCTCCAGCAGTGACCTAATATTTCGGATGTAGCAATGGTGTGAAATCGTCTGATCATCACTTTCATACGAAGCAAACCACAACCCATGCAAAGTGCTGCTGTTTCTGTTCCTCTGCCCGCTGGGATTTCCACTCCCAACCATCCTGGCTTGGCTGCTGTGGCTTCTCCAAAGGATTCAGAACCACCTGACCCAGAGTTGCCAAGCACTGGGCTTTCCTGCAATCTCTCGAGTAAAGCAAGGATTGCTCAGCACTTCTGCAGGGCAAGAGAAAATAAAACCATGCCACGGATAATAAATAAATAAAGCCTGCCCACACTGCAAATCTCAAATCTGGGCATTGCAAAACATGGATTTCTCCCACACAGTGGAGAGCAAACCTTGTTCTGACACGGCTGTGCAGGATTGGCCCTGGAAGGCTGCATCCATCATTAACACGAGATCCCTGCACTTCAGAGGGACAATCTGAAGTATAAACTGACTTTATAACAGTTTTTACATCAGCCAAGGAGTTACTCCTGTATTATTCTAACCAAGGTCCTCCCCTCTTCCTTTTGCTGCAGTGCCTCTGAACTAGCCCTGACATCAAGGCCACCACAGTGTCAAACTCCACAGTCTGAGCTTTTTTTTCACCTGTCCAGAAGTAAAACAACTGAGCAAAGGGGTTGTTTGTGATGGTGTTGAAAGAGCTGTGCTTTGCCCTTAAGCCAGCCCTGCTTGGCTCCAAAGAAATAACAAACCTGCCCTGAGGCAGAGAGGGACAACCACTGACAGCAAACCCATGGACTTTGGGACTTGGATTTTATATTCAGCTTTGCTTTGGAGGTTTTTACAACTTCTCCCAGCTTGGTGAGGATCCATTGGTGTTTTTGCTGTGCAGGTAAACTGGGGAGGGCTCCCAGAGGAGAGCTGGTTCCCAGCTTCTCACTGGAGAGGCTGGAGGTGACAACTTGTGTGACAATTTTTGCTATAGGCATGTGGCACTCAGCATCCCTGCCCTGCTCAAATCTCACTGAAGTCTGACTAATTCAGGGGTTAATGCAGCAATATTTGCTGTTTTGCCAAGTCACCTCCTGAGAGGTCCCTGGCCAGTGTCAGAGCCCAGCCCAGGGCTCACAAATGCTGGTTTCACTACTTCTCTCCATCTCTCTGTTCCTGTTTCTCAGCAAAGAACACAAGAAACAAGACAATGGGTTCCACCACAACTCAGATGGCAAATTATTTTGGGAAGAGTCTGCCAGTGAGCCTGGGGCAGTGCATGACTTGGAAATCCAGTTTGGGAGGAATTTTGGTTTGAGAGTTTTCCACTGGAAAATGTCATAGCAAATCTAAGAATAGATTAACTGGCAAAGGAGAGAAAAGCAGAGTCTGTCCTGAAGAACAAATGTGCTGAAATCCCTGCTGTGCCTGACTAAGGCTCAGAGTAATCCTGGGTTTATCACCAACACTGGAGTGTCCAGATACCACAGGAGATCTGTGCTGGTGAGCCAATACCCCTTCAGATTGTTGCAACATTTTATATTTCTTCAATCCCCTTATGTCACCAGAATGTCTCAGCCTTGGTTTCACAGGAAGTGAGATTTCCTGCCTTGCTGGTCAGTAGGATGGGAAGGCAAATGTCCAGGTAGCCATGGAATGCTGCAGCTGGGAAACCTGGCTCATCCTCCAGGGAAAACTCCACAGGACTTTCATGTCCTTCCCAAACTGGTTATATTGTTCTATTTTCTCTCCCCTGCCCAGCTGAGGAGGAGGGTGATGGAGTGGTTTTGGTGGGTACCTGGTGTCCAGGCAGAGTCATCCCACCCCACAGAGAAAACACAAAACAGATAAAATGGTTCTCACCTCTTTCTAACCTGAACCGTCCTGGGAGCAGCTGAATGACAGATCCCAATGGATTTGTTGCCCTCTGCTTTTCCCCTGTTCTGGCAAGATTTTATTTCTTTGGAGGCAATGAAGTTGTGCTCATGATACTTTTGTTTTTTCCCTCCAGCTGCAGCTGAAGTCAGCATGGCCTCAGGAAAGACCCCAACCCCAGACCTGCTGAAGGCTGAGGAGCAGCAGACTGAGGTAGGTGCCAGGGCACCCACAGCAATAAATCACCCACTGACCTCTGCCAGCACCCCAAAACCAGGCTGGGGGGACAGAAAGATTAGCCCTAGGAAGCTGTGGCCAAATCAAAACCCCCTCAGTACAGAAGGTAATTGTTTTGCTCAAAAGACAACTTTGGGGCTGGCCAAGTGATGCAGGCAGTTCTGAAGCAGGAGCTGTTACTTCCACATCTGGTTTGGTGCTGAAACCACTCTGAATTCAGGAGCAGAGTTCAGACTTCTTAACCCTGGCTTGTTCACTTGGTGGAGGCCTTTGGCTGAGTCTCCCCAGCTCTGAGCTGGAGAAGGATGAGGAGATGGATTTGTTGGGACCTTTCAGGACAGACACAGGGCTGTGTTCACTCACCAGCTCGGCCTGGGCTCTCATGTCACCGTTTCTCTTGGCTTTAGAGCGCTGTCAATCGAGTCACCAGCCTGCCCTTGCTCAGCTCTGCCTTCAACCTGGTCTCCTCTGCCTACACCCACACCAAGGAGTCCCACCCGTGCCTGGGTGGTGTCTGCAGCGTGGCTGAGACCGTGGCTGCCGTGGCCGTGGGCAGCGTGGTCGGGGGGGCACAGCCCATCCTGAGCCAGCTGGAGCCACAGAGTGAGTGCAGGGCTGGGGACCCCTGGGACAGAGGGACACAGGGAGGGGACCTTTGTGTGTCTGTAGGGTGACCCCACCTCCCACAGCACCCTCTCCTCCAGCACTGAGCCTCCCGAACACTGAACGGGAATGAAACTGTTTCCAGCAGAAACACAATTTGATTTCTTTACGTTACTAAGTAGCACCTCCCTGCTCGCTCCCCCACTCAAATTTCTGACCATCCCAGGTAGGAGCTGTGTCAGTCTGGGATAGAGCTCAGTCTGGCTTATCCCAACACTTTCCAACCCTTTAAACCCACCAAGGGCAGGTACTGCACTGCAGTTGGATTAAAGTCTACAGTTAGAAAGCTGGGAAGGCAAAATGGAGACTATTTGAACTCCCCAAATTAAAGGGTTTGTTCACTTTTAACACATCCCATCCCAGAATGGTAATTTATTTTCTGGGGGCTTCTTTTCATGAGTGTATCCTGAATCAGCCATTGTAGGGTTAAAAAGCCATCCACAAATGTAAGAATAAACTGGTGCCTGTTGTCTCTTGCAGTTGCCCTTGTGAATGAATATGCCTGTAAAGGTCTAGACCAGCTGGAGGAGAACTTGCCCTTCCTGCAGCAGCCAGCAGACAAGGTAAGGACAGGCTTTTCCTAGGGAAGCCATGGCTTGATGGAACTGCTATGGGTGCAGGAGAGCACGGGGAAATAAATAAAGCTCAGCAGCAGCAGGGAAAGCTGGAGAGGCACTGAACACATCTGTGTCAATACAGGTGTGCTCACCTGCCCAGCCTTCCCACAGACTGCACAACTAACCCAAGTTGGAAAGCTTTTTCAGGGAGGGAAAACATTTTTTGAAACAACAACAAAAAAATCTTTTTGTGCCTCTCCCTGGTGCAGGTAATCTCGGACACCAAGCAGCTGGTGACCACCAAGGTGACATCGGCCATGGACGCCGCCTGTGAGGCCAAGGAAGCAGTGGCTGATAAAGTCACTGAGGTTGTTGGGGACAGTGTGAAGCTGACCAGGTCTGTGGTCACCTCCACTGTCAGCAGTGCTGTGGAGGCTGCCCAGGGTGCCAAGGAGCTGGTGACCAACAAGGTGACAGAGGCTGTGGATGTCACCAAGCACATGGTGGAGGACAGCGTCGACAAGACCAAGTTTGCTGTTGCCTCCACGATTGTCAACGCTGTGGAGGCTGCTCAAGGGGCCAAGGAGCTGGTGAGCAACAAGGTGACAGAGGCTGTGGACCTCAGCAAGCACCTTGTGGAGGACAGCGTTGACAGGACCAAGTCTGCTGTGACTTCCACCATCACTGCAGCTGTGGGGGCTGCCCAGGGGGCCAAGGAGCTGGTGGCCAACAAGGTGAC